CAATTGTTTTGCCTGAACAATGTTTTCTATATCACTAAATCTTTTTTTCTATATTAGTAGAAACGATGCCCATCCATAGGCACAAAAACTTCTTCTGCACGCACAAATACACATACACACACGCACACATTTTCTTAAAACATATTCCCTCAAACCTCAGTATGTCTGTCTAATCCCTTAAAACTTAATTAGCAACCTTAGTTAGGGAGAAGGTGATAGACTCCCTTCCCTCCAGTGGTTTGAATGACTTCTTGAAAACATTAGAGACTAAAAACAGGATATCAGAAACTCCAGAAAATTGAGTCAAGATTGGGCACCTGTTTTAAGAAGTGCAAACAACCAGTTCTATGGCTCAATAGAAAAGACAATGAGCCATTTTCTCCTCTTTGCATGAAATATACACACAAAAAGGTACACTACAGAACGTTAGATTTGTAATTTGTGCATGATCCAATATTTAATGTGATACTTATTTACCAAACTAACCTTGGCTCTTTGACATGCATGCATTCTACTTTCGTAACTCGACTGTGAAACAACACTTTTTTTCTACAAGCAGCAGCAGTAGATTTCAGCTCACAGGAAAGCTTGAGAGAAAACAGATCTATTGCTAGCAAAACACCTCCACATAGCAAAAATTCTCCGGAAAAACAAGAACACAGTCCGCAGACTGAAAGAGCCAAGAAATAGGGATGAAAGTGGAATCCATGGTACACTCTGTGGGAAACACAAGAAGCAGAAGAAATATGCCCATCCTATGGGCAGCAGTGCAAGAAACAAGCTCCCTTTGCCATTATGCTGCTACAAACTAAGGAAGACAAAAGAACCAATGCATGTACGAATTGATGACATACAATCTTCCCATAAACATTAGAAGTGTGACATTAGCAGATCCAAAAACTCTCAATACACACATGCACTGCAGAAGGAGGCTAACCAGCTATTTCACTGTTAAATTTACAAATATGCATCCAGTGAGACTACCAAAACTCTGTTGGCCCTGGCAGAAACACTGAAGAAAGAACTGGCAGGCCTGGAAAGAGGTGGCTTCCTTAAGTTAAATAAGGAAGCAAGCATTAGTTAACAGCCTCATTGTGGAAGTAAAAGAATGCAAGTAAACTGAGGAAGTGCACTGACTACAACCTCCTGCACAGGACATTGAAAAGAAGTTGCTACTTTTTACCAGTGAATAAGCACATGCCAAGAAAAAAAAGTGTTCACTGATGTCACATGTCAAAGATGAGTTCTGGCATATTGAGCTAGAGCAGCAGTCCAGCTATCTGACAAACATAACCCAAGTTTACACACATGCCAGTTGAATGACGACCAGCATCAGCCCAGCCCCAGAGCTGTTCAAATGCATGCTGCACCAGGCACTGGAGGGGCTTTCAGGTATTGAGACTATAGTCAATGACATGCTGATCAGAGAAGGAGACATCAAGGAAAGCAAGTGTCGACAGTACAGACAGCCAAGAAACTGATAAGAAGTCAAAACAGAGAGGAAGGGATCCCTGCCAGGCAATTTTGGACCACTACACTTCATCCTACAGACCAGTGGCACTCAACCTTTTGGTTCCATAGGCCAGATGACTGGCATGGGGCTGGTCCAGGGGCTGGATCCTGCACTGCCCAAATTGGGCCCTGTGCCATACTGGCCCCACGCACCTGGCTATGCTATCTGCCTTCAAGGCTCTCCCACACGTCCAGAGACATTTGGCAGCTAGAGGAGCAGCAATTAACACAACCACTGGTCCCCCACAGCCAAATTTAAACCAATGGGAAGCCCTGCAGGCCAGATAACACAGCTTCATGGGCTGGATCTGGCCAATGGGTCAGGGTATGAACACACCTGCTATAGCCTACAGTAGGCCCTAAACTGCTTAATGGCAACATAGAATAGCATTTGCTTGACCAAAGACTGGGTAATAAGCAAGCAAAAGAATGTCAGAGTAGGCAAGACAGGTTAACAGCAGTAGACTAAAGGTTGCTTAGAGTAGATTTAGTAGTTTTATGCCAGTTAGATCTAGTTTAAGACGACAGACAGCTTAGATAGGGAATAAAAATAGGCATATGATTATTATTTATAGTAGAACCTATTCAGAACATTAAAAAAGCAGCCTTATTTAGTGCAAAAATCTAGGTTCATCTCAGACTCTTTGCTCTTCAGCCTTAGGCTATTTTTTAGCAAGAATCATAGTCCATCTGCAGATAAACCAAGCTTAGCACTCTTTTAAAACTTAATCTGAAACCTAGGTGAGAAGTCCTTTTCTCTAACCAGCTGGCCACCTGTTAGAGGCTTGTTAAGACTTTAAGATTTGGGAAAGTAATTTTAAATTCTCTCAAATATTAACAAGATTGGTATTTTTTTTAGATGAATACAAATTTTGATCACTTGCTTGATATACCTTAATTATGCTGTTTGGTCATTTATATTTTATCTGTATTTCATTATTAAATTTGCTGTTAAACTTTATCTACATTTATGTTTGTGAGTATTTAATTTTGGTGCCACTGGCTCTGAACCTTTCTTGGTTCCCCAAATCCCTCTGGGGTGTCAATAATCCTCCCCAAAACTAGAAAGCAGCCTGGCATAGCATCTATTGCATAAGGAAAAAATAATACGAAGACAATGCTTCCTATCATGCAGCAGTCTGTTGCAGTCTGCTGGAGAAATGATGGCTGGGGCACAAAAGCAGAAAAGAGAAAACTAAGCCGCATAAAGGCAGTCCACAATAAAAGGAAATGGAGATTTCATGTGGAGAGGGGAACCAACCATTGAGCAGCCATGCAAAGCAATGGCAAAATACAAAAATAAGAAATCCAGCCTGCAGCAAGGTCATGAGGTAGCTAAAGAAATGGACTAAAAACAAACATGGGTGCAAAGTGGCAGCCAAGAGCCTGTACATCCAGCCATACATGGCCACAGACACAGACAGGACAAGAAGAGCTTCAACCATTAGCCAGCCTGAAGAAGGAAAGTCATGAGAAATTAGGAGTATGAACAGTACAGAGTACCTACCACACATCACCCAGGGGAACAAAGGCAAAAGCAATAACAGGTTGCAAGCCAGTCCTCTATTTGCTCCCCTAGTGATAGCACAAACTACAAGTGGGAGACTGGCTCAAAAATCAGCACCCTTGAAAGACCATGTTGTCCAACAGTTGTGACTGCTTATTTTGTATAAATAAATAAAAATGTTTTTGATCTTATACTAGGGCTCTGTTCCACTGGATTTGCATGCTCTCATTTGATACGCAGGGTGAGAAGCTTCTGGGACAGCTGCATGACAGCTGGGAAGGGTGCAGACCCCTGAGGGGCTAAGGTAGAAAACCTTCAGAGCTATGACTGGAGAGCCCAACAGGACTCCATAATGGCATGCCCCTTTGTTAGCATCCTCAGAGAGGCTGGTGGGCCCTCACTGGTGAGAAACAGGAAGCACTGGCTCATAAGACCCCAAGCTGGAACCCAAGAGTAAATATCACCAGCAGTGACCACAAGCAGCAGGCAGCACACCTCAGCTGCTCCCAGCAGTGCTGACAGAACAGCAAGGTGAACCTGATGGTAAGCAGCAGCAGAGCAGTGACTTCAAAAGGTGGCAGGCAGAATGTTGCAGTGCTCCCCAGAGCACCAGCATGAAGCAGCACACCTCTGGGCTTGCTGCAGCACACTTCAGCACCAGCCCCAGCAGCCGCAATCTCAAGCACAGGCTGGCGGGTTGAGATCTTCCCCAGTGAACTAAGGAGCAGCTCTTCTACTCCTTTTTGCTGGGTGAGGTGGTAACCTCCCAGGTGGAGAAAGTTCTCAAGCAGAGAGGCACACCAGAAGACCCAAGCAGCTTGTTATTTGGAGTTGTTTGTTATTTGCAGATTTTCTTCTGTTGTTTGGGATGTTATTTGTCTGGGGAGTTATTTCGTATTTTTGGGGCTTTCCATAGTTGTTCTGTCTGATACAGTCTAGTTATTTTCTTTCCTATTAATAAACTTATATATACTGTTGGTATCTGCACTGCTTGCAAGCGGGAAAGTTGTTCTTTTAGGACCCTCAGTAAAAGATGAAATTGTCTCAGGTTTCTGGGTGACGGGTTCAAGCCAACCCCCCCCCAAATTTGTACTCAGCCCTTGTTTTGCCACCAGGACCCAGCAGAAGGGTTACGCAGGATATGTACTAGAGGGGCTATATACCAGCCTGCAGCTCCAGCCAGCCAGCTAGCAAAAGCTTGCACAAAATATGTGGCAACAATAACATTTGTTGAAAGGATAGACGTGGCAACCTCCTCAAAACTTGTGTGGAGATGCCCATGATGCAGGAGGGAAAGGTTCTCTAGAGAGAGATTTCTAAAGAGCCAGTTTAGATTTAGAAACAAGGAGTCTTTCCATGTTATTACATGTCAAGCGAGTAGATGAAATGATTCAGATAAAGGTTAATGGTTCTCAAAGCCAGACTGCCAAGTCTGAAACTGTTATTCAGGGTCTAGCCAAAAAGTGGTCCAGTTCAAATACCCGTAAAATCTACATTTTTGCATGCAATACAACAGAAGATAGATATTCTATTGCCTAATTATTTTTTTCCATCTGGGTTTCTACCAGAATAGAAAAGCTTGTGGACTTTTAGATTTAGTCTTTGGAAACATGCATGTAGAAGTCTGCTGCAAAATATACAGCTTAGCAGTAAGTCACATGACAACCTGGTTCCCATCCTACACTCTTAAAATAAGGAAAACCTCTACCAATGTGGGTGGAAGTTTTGCTTGAGTAAGTTACAAGGGATCTGACCCTGCAAAAAATAACAAACAAAAGGATGTGCTGAAGTTATTCAAAGGAATTGGCATTAATACTAAAGCAAACTTTAATTTCCAGCTCATGAAAGAGATTGTATACAGCGAATCTTTCCTGTGTTTTGGAAGCATATAAGAAAGGTTTTAAGTTATGAAGGCAACAAAGACAGCAGTGATCAATGATGTCAATAATGAAGAAAGAATCAGAGAACTGAAAGTACTTACACTGGAAAGGAGACTTTATGCAGATTTTCACCAAAGCTCTTGAAACTGTACAACTAATCCATATAAACTTCTGACACTAAAATAAAAAAATCTAAATTATTAAATCAGCACAAAATGACATGACTTGCATTAATAGCAGCTCACAGAAACTTCATCATAAAAGGATGCAGGTTGAAGGACAACCAGTGAATATCAGGAATACAGACCTTCAAAAGGGACAAGTAGAGAGGCACGAAATGCAGGCTGCAAACAAGTTTCAGCTATTTCTGATACACTTAGTTCCCTATACTTCTACTTCTCTCTGTTTCCCGTGATAATCAACAGCACACAGAATTAAGCTGGAGAAGCCAACGGATGCTTTGCAAATGGCCTTCCTCTAAACCTGGGTGCTTGCACAAAGTTAGGAGGCCAGAGGTGAGAAGGTGAAAGAAAGCTGGCAGTACACTCCTCCAGCACCAAATGGCAGGTAAATATTGCTTAATCCAACATTACAACTCTCACCCCAGCCCACCACAACCTGTTGGGATCAAAGCAAAAGCCACAAAATCTGGTAAATTCCATCCAATTTTTTTTTTAAATGCTGCCTTTCAGAAACATAAAAAGCTAAATTCAAGGAGATAAGAATCTAGACAGATAAAAATAAATTACACAAGTTCCACGAAAAGGTAACACAGGAAACAGTAACTTGCACAGGAATTTTCAGTAAGATATGGCTACTAAAAAGGTTCATGCCATTTGGGCTGTAATAAATTACCTTCTATAAATGACCGTGTCAAAACCATACCTTAGGAAAGAAAATTACAAGCATTAAACATTCACAGACTGACTAACTTAGTAATGCCCAAGGATAAAATGCCAAACAGCATACCAGGGTTCAAAGGAAATAACCATCAGGGAGAGAGAAAAACTATAATGGAAAGCATGGAAGTGCAAACAAAGGGTGTGTTAAAGTTGAAGGAAGACTTAGACTGAACAGCAAGGAAAAATGGACAGTGACATGCAGACTGTGAAATAGTTTCCCAAGGTGAGTGGTGAAAGTTTGTTGGTGCTAAAACATGTTCTGTTAAAACTTGCCTGGACAAACTTGCCAAGAGCATACTTGGAGGAAGAAATCCTGCTTTGGCGAGGGCGGAGACTGAAAACCCTCAGTGTCTTTTCCAAGCTAGCTCTCTCTGTTTTTGATACCTTGAAGGCAACAATGCTATTACGTACACATGTCCATTTTATTTTATTTAAAAAAAAAAAAAGCACCTATGTGTTCAAGAGTCAGCTAATGAATCTACTCCCCTACACCTGAAGAAAATACATGTTCTACTGCATTGGCGATGCATAGGGAGTGCATGTGCACCCCCTGAGATTGCCGGTGCACCCCCTGAAAGAAGTGCTGCTGGCGCTGCTGGGGCCGCCTGAAGGCAGTCGCTGCTCACCATCCCCCCCCTTGCCACTAATACTGCTCGCAGCATCTGGAGGCGGTCACCTACCACCAGTCAGCGCTCACCACCCCACCTGCCTCCAACACCGCCGCGGCCATCTGCGGGAGCTCCCCACTCACCATAGTTTCATACTTGTTAGGGTTGGAAGGAACCTTTTAGATCATCGAGTCCAACCCCCCTGCCCTGTGCAGGAAAGAGTGCATGGGTCAGATGACCCCAGCCAGGCGTTTGTCCAATCTCCTTTTAAACACCTCCAAGGAAGGGGACAGCACGACCCTCCCTCGGAAGCCTATTACATATTTTAGCGACCCTCACTATAAAGATATTTTTCCTGATGTCTAATCTAAATTTGCTCTCTTCCAGTTTGCCATCACCACACCCCCACCCATCACTGCCTGCAGGTGGTCGCCCACCCCCCACCCCAGCCTCCAGGGGCACATGTTGTTCATGTTCTACTGCTCTGTAGCTCAACTTTGGAATTCCAGGAGCCATGAAGGCTGTTAACAACAGAACGACAGGTTATCAAGAATGTGACACAGACTCAGGCCCCAAACTTGCAGAGGGTCATACCCATGGTCTCTTATGGTCAACTGAGTGGGTTTTACATGGGCACAAAGGTTTCTTCACAATCCTTCAGCAAGAATGTAGTTGGGGGGCATGGAGTTACTGAATAAGTAATTGTGTTGTGAGCTCTATTCAACACACTTAGGGAAAAATTGTTTGCCATATGGAAAAGGGACAAAATCTGGTAGGCAGGAAAAAATATTTGAGGTTTCTAAAAAAGGTAGTGAAGAATGTAGCGTACAAAGCCACAGAGGCCAGGAAAAAGTTACTGGATAGAGTTATTTTAAAGTTGCCTAGTATAATACAAAGGGCTCAAATGGAAAACCTATAATAAGAAAGGAGTTCCTCTTTTCTGCGTCTCCTACCTACAGATTAAGCCTCATAGACTAAGTATAGGCAGTCAAAAAAGCTCAAGGCTGAATTGATTCAATCTTCGCAGGTTAGTTTAAGCTGCGTAGATTGAACCGAGAAGCAAGTGAACAGACATTCACTTTTGATTCTAGAAATGCAGCCACATGCCTGCAGTAATCCAGGCCAGAAGCCAAGGGATGCTAGAGCATGCCTCCCTGCTCTGCTGAAGCAGACAGTTTGAATCTGAAGGGGATCTGGGACACAAGTTCAATAAACCAGTTTAGTCTGATACTACATCCATCCAGGTTTATCTTAAACCAGTTTTGACTATTTTGAAAGTGCTTTATGTACACTGAACTTCTGTTGTGCTATAGATTTGAACTGGTTTTCAATCACTTATACCAGTTTATGTGTAATTTTTGTCCCTAGCCATATATGCTGTTCAAGACTTGCTAATTGGCAGGATTCAGACTCCAAAGTCTGAGGAGATCCAGACATGGCAGCAAAGCAGAGAGTGCAGAAATAGGCAATGATTTATGTGCACTGCAGAGTGGTGTGAAAGATGCAGCTAGACCATCTCATTTGGCAGGGAGATCAAAGATTCAGCTGTGGGAGGAAGAAAACCGTTCAGGGTGGGGGTTGAAGGGAAGAGGCTGGGGGAAAAGAATCAGAACCATAGAAAGAGAGGAAGGAGTATCCCAGAAAAAAGGATTTTCCCCTGCTATATGAGGTAATAGGGATAAGCACTGCTTGTCTGGGTGCTGCCAATCACCCCCACACTCTCAGCCACAACTTTAACTTGACTAATACTAACTAGACCAAACCCAGCCTGCCCCTCATCTCATGCAGACTTTAATGGAGACCTGTCTTTAAGGGAAAGGACAATAAAATGGATCAGCACAAAAAGCATACATCAACTTTTTAGACTGAAAGGTTTTTTCTGGTTATACTGTATTTATTTCATTTTAAAAAGGAAATCTGCCCTGACCCTGAACCTTTCATTAATTTCTGCTTCTAACAGTAGAGCGCATGCACCACCCATTTAAAAAAAGTTACTTCTGAGTCATTTTCTTTGTTACTTCAATTTGACAGAAAACAAGATGCTTTAGTCATTTCTTCTCAGAAATCACAGTTATGCCAATGAAGTCCACACCTCTAGCAACCACAATGATCATCCTTACTTTAGAGAGCTGGGAAAAAAATTAAAAGTGTATCCCACTGAAAGAAGCTGAGTACAATAAACACTACTTCATGGGATGTTACCACAGAGTAAGAAAAGCATTTCAGTTTTATTTCACACAGCTGTTGTATAATATGCCTGAACTGATCTTCAAAATAGCTTCTTGTTTAAATGCATGTTAATTTTACTAATGAACTTCTCCATATTCCTAAAACCCTCTAGTCCTAGGACCAATGGTCTCAGATAATGCCCTCTTAAATCACATTTTGCAGCTGTTTTTTAGGTTTAAGCCTCAAAATCCAAAATTTCAAAACTGTCCCTGAATGTTTCCAAATCTTGGCCTTTATCGAGCCAATACGGATTGACCACATAATGAGAGGGCCCCAAGGGACAAACCTTGAGCACCACTTTTCCTCTTCCAACAACACAGGAGTTGGCTGACCCCCTACCATGACAAGAACTTCCCAAAGAGCCTATGAAGTCTAGAGCCTTAAACTGCAAGCAGTCACACAATTTACGAGTAAATAAGGTAAATTTCATAACACAGAAGTAACAAGTAAGAAAAAAAAATAACCATCCCACTGTTTTCAAGGCAGTGACCTGGGAGAATGACAACATGGAGCCAATTGCTACATTTTAATTTTAAGAGGGTGTTCTGGCCCTTGAAGGCAGATTGCAAACCTGGCACTGTCCTACTACTGATGACATTCAAGAAGGGAGGGAAAAATGCAGTGCCCAGATCTGACAAAGGAAATAGGACCCCTGTATTGCTGCAAGGTCTGCAACAAAGAGGCCCTTTCCTCCCCCCACTCCAAAGTCAGGAAGAAAGTGAAGGAAGAAACAAGACCTGCTGTGACTTCAGGAAGAGAAGCTGGAGCTCTGAGGTCTTCCCAAATGAGGGCCTGGAAAAGTTTTAAATGAGCCAGTGAAAGGCCTTGTGCTCCCTGAGGTGGTCACCAGGGATCCTGGTTTTCTCTGATTTAAAAAAACAAAAACAATTTTCAGATTAAAACAAGTAAGCCAAAATCCACATTTTTCCATTATCAAAATGAAATCCCACTATATGTACCTGTCAACCTTTCCTCATATCATGCATGCATGAATCCCTGAAACCAAAGTGACTGGTATTTCACATACTATTACCTAGCACTACAAATTCTGAGTTTAAATTAAAATACAAAAGTAACCCAGGCATTAAAGTCACACATTCATATTGTGGGATACAGACAACATGTCTGACTGCTTCTGCAAATGATTCCAAGGAAATATGTTGTGTACATTTTTAAAAATATCAATTACATTTATATTTGGCTCTCTGCCACTCAGTGCACCATTTTGTTCAATAACTAGTTACAGTACAAGTCACATGCAACCTACAGAATATTAAAAAATATATAAATTGCAAAACTAAATGGAGAACATCAAAACACAGTTTGACTGTAGCTGAAACTCCACCTTTAAAATACTCTTACACAACACAGAACTCCCCTTAAAACTAAGAGGCAAGAAACCTACAGATTAGTACATCAAGAAGAACTTTATGAAATGGTCTC